TCTCTAATCATCTCACATAACTTCCAAAATGTTTTTCTATCCATTCTTAGTAAGTTAATTGTTTGAACATCACTTTCTCTTATGGCATATTTAATATTTGCTCAACCTAATAGCAGCTCTCTCTTCAACTGATTCATCATTCAAGTAGTTAATGGTTCTAGGTAATCTCATACCAAGCAATGTAAATTTTTTAATCATAATGGTCATAAAAGCACAAAGGTTTAAAAGCATTTCAATATAGATCGCAGCCATTGCAATGCCAATTCTTCTCCTATTATTTGATAGACGAGCCATCTCAAATCCATAACAGATAAGTAAAAAAAAAAAAAATACAAAGACATGATCATTAAACCCAATATATATATATATAAACCCTTGCATGCTTGGTTAGTTTGACTATGTAATTAAAAAACAATTTCTTTCACAAGTGTAAAGTACATTTGAATACTCATCTATACATATAAAATATAACAGCATATAAGGAATGAGAACAATCTCATTTTTTGAGTTTGTTTATTATTATTATTTTTTTTTTTTTATAGAGGTACCTAACTACACAATATATAATTTTCAAGCATGTATAGCACAAGAAAGCTCATAGACAAAATTGTAAGATAGATCTAGAGTCTGTCCTCAATCTATATATTATAAGACCCATTGCTTTGCATAAGGACCTATATATATGACAAGCTTGAGGGTTATTTGCAATGGCGTTGTTGACTTAATATTTCATGAAAAAAAAAAAGCCACCACCAATAAGTTCTTAACCAGAATACCAGATAACAAAAAGAATCATCATGATAAATTAAAATAATAAAAAAAACTTTTTGCAAATAAGAAATTGAAAATAATTAATTAAAGGAATGGAAACTCACAGGTAGATTATTTCTCTAGTATGCTCTGAAGATGTTGATGATGTAAAGGTAAAAGCTCAAAAAGAGAGAACGACAAATATATTTCTTTTAGAGTGTGTGTGTGTGTGCGTGTGTGTGTGTGTGTGTGTGTGTGTGTGTGTTATTAAAGATATGAGACAGAGCTTCAAGGTTTTGAAAATCGGATTAGGCCTTGACCTTGTTAGTGTATGCCTTGGGAACCAATCATATTGTTGGTTTCAGAACATTATATCTTGTAAATGTATTACGAATAAAAGAAAATGTTCTTATGTCACATGTTGATTTACTGCTTCGTTTATATTATATTTAATAGTGCATGTGAAATCTCTGGATTACACGGATCTTTAGAATATCAAATCATCGAAGAATTTCCTACGGAAGTAATGTTAATTGGGTAATAATATTACATAGTAGGCATGCTGAATGTCTCCACTGAATATCATGTAATGGTATTAGTGTGGGTGATTATAAGAGGTATGTCACTAAGGCATTAGCATGGATAAACGGTTAGTGAACTATTTATCAAATATGACTGATTACGATGAATCACATGGATGTTTAGAATGTGGTAATGATGCATCATAGGATTGTGCTAGTGTACCATTAATCCTTAGACCTGAGACATCACGGTTGGATTTAACATAGGATGTATATGGTTCATATGGTGTATAAGCATGAGAATAGTCATGTCTTGTGTAATAAGCCATTTTGGTTATATGTTATTCATGTGAGAGGACAAGTGATGGTTAAGATGAGATTCGTTAACTCAAAACAATCAAATCTTGAGTTCCTAAACGAATGTCAATAAACATTGGAAAAGAGAAATCTCTAGCCAAAGTATAATGAATGTTAGATGAAAAGTAGTTTTTTGTTGACAAGTTCCATTGTATCGATTGACAATTTGATTAAAGATTAAGTTAAGGGCATACCATGAACCACTGTAGAGGGATTTTACTAAACGATACGTACGATTAAAATAGGTTCATTGGAATTTACACTTCATTGTGGTTTAAGGGTTGTGAAACATTGCTAGATGTCTACCATAATCAGTAGGAGTTTTGATTATAAAGAGTTATAACAAAACATATCGGAATCCAATATTGGGCCCACGGCTATATCACAATGAACCAAAATGGTCACATATAAAATCAAGCTCAGGGAGAGAGAGTAATTCATATTATTAATCGGATTAATGATGTTCAGACATAAACGATTGCATCCAAATTAATGTATTAGAGAGAAATGATTATCCATGGATAGCTAGCACTAACCATGGGTAATAAGGATTTATTAAATATTATTATTGAATTGGATTCAATAATGGGGGCTAAAGTGCACTGGTTTTATTCTTAGATATTTTATAGAATTAAAAGTTTGTCTAATTATGAATTAACTATAAAACCAAGGACTTAACATAAATGTCTATTCTCAAGTTAATTTTAAATTGTTTGAGACCTTCCCAAAATAATTTAAAATTGCACTTTGTGCCCATGATATAAAAATAAAGTCTTATACCATTTTTCATAATGAAAACCATTATTCACTCAAAATCCCTCTCACTCATAATTGGCTATCTCTTCCTTGGCTTGTGTGGATCACATTTTGAGTTTCTTCAATCTTGTTTGAAGAATAAAGGCTCCAAGAAAGAAGTTCCAAACATTAAATAGCAAAGGAGTAGGTAATATACTATTTTTTTTCTTTAGAAACATGCTATTGATGTTATGTTTGTGTTCGACTGACGACTAGTTAGCGACAGCGACACCCCCAAATGTAACCTAATCGTCCCTTAAGTCAATTCCCCTAAAAATCTACCCAAGATCTAGCAGAAATCGGTTTGATTTTGGCCAAATCTCACCGACGCCAGCGTCAACAACCCTTACCATCACCTCGAAAATACCCAACTCTTCCTCCCAACCAAAACCCACCTCACCCCACCCTTGTTAGCCTCACCAATCACCAACAAAAGCCAGTTGTTGACATCGCCATTTTTTTTCAATTTTTGGTTGATTTACTCACCAAAAATCAACTTCATCGCCACCATTGCACTCACCGGCACTTTCTCTTCAAAAGCCTCAACATCCTGGCCTTCAATTGTTCGCCGATCATCATTCCAAATTCTAAGGTTTTGGGTGAATAGGAAAAATGTAAACCCAGCCTAGTAAAGTTTTCGAGTCCCAGTTAAACCAGTTAGGTCGGGTCGGGTTTTAAAACAATGATCTCAAATACAAACACACAATAATTTGAAATATGCAAGATATGCCATATGTAGAACAATTGCGGTAATATGTTAATCACGGCCGAAGGGACAACTTTTGTTGTATATGGTCATATAGAGAGAGTCATTCCAAGCAAATATGATTTCATGTCTCTAAAAGGAGATAAACCAAACAAATTGTCTGCTTAGCTTAACATATATAAAGATATAATTAACAATATTGGCTTTGGCTCCTCGATCCTCTCAATATGTTGCCCATCGTTTTCACCTTTTATCCATCTTGTTTGGTTGAATTACACAGTCTCACTACCATTCAATTGGCACTTTCACTATGATTAACATATTCTGGTGGTGGTCTCTTTCTTCACCGCTTCTTTTTGGTTATAAACAAACTATTTTGGACATAAAATAAATTTACACTTGATACCATTTATATCTTTGAAAAGATGAGAAAAAACAAAAACTTAAAAGCTTGTATATTTAATTAAGAGCATTTTACATGTGTATCAAGTATATATATCGTATAGTTTGATGAATTATCCGAATTTTGTCAAAAGTAGAATTAAAATAGAATTCAAAATATGCCCATTTAGCACAAGTTTGAAGCAATCCAAGAAAATGTTAATGAAAAGGAGAAATAGAATTCAAAGATCGTAAAGCAACATCAAGAACTAATTAAATCCCTTCTCTCACGTACAAAAGGATAAAGATAATGGACTAATCGCCATAGATGGTGCGCCGACACAAATCACCAAATTTATCTACCAAAATTAAAGGATCGATCAATCATATAATAATCCTTTTCAAACTTTTTCTGGTATTTTCTTTCTAGCCGTCCAAGTTTTTTAGTCAAAGAAGATAAATAAACAAATTTACGTGTTCACCTACCGATATGTATTAATTTCCAATCCCTTTTTGTCTTGATTTTTCTTTTTTTTTTTTAAGGGCCAATGGTGTCTTTAAGTTGGTTAGAGTTTTTGAAGATGATATATGATATGAATAAAGTTTTCAAAAGCTGAAACATGAGAAGCACGGAAGGACATGGGCGTAGCCCCACAATTTGTCGAATTTGAAATGGACTTGCAACCAAAACAAAAGTGTCATCATTTGGTTTATTGTGGGGAAGGCACATTTATACACAAAGAAAAGGGAATGTCATCAAGACCTGGAAGCTTCAATTTTCATTTTATAAATCTGCCTGCCTAACTGATTGTTAACTGGACGTTTTGCTTTTGATTTTATGAAGTTAGGTTTTGCCATAGTTGGCTAATTAAGCTTTGGTTAGGATGGTGCCAAAAGAATTAGTATAAAATTATTACCTAAAAATTCAGACATTTCGTAAACAACAGTGAAGACAGAAGAGAAAGAAAGAGAAAAGGAAAAGTGTGATAATACGTCTGTGTTCCATATCAGACACAATTCCCTTATACTTGAGTGCCGACCATTGACACCGCGTGTCTTCTGTCTCCTCCACTGCTTCTCATTATCAGACCTCAATAATGTTGCAGTAATTAAACATGGAAACATAAATGTTCATACATATATGCTATATAGTGAGCATTCCCGTTGAAAATATTTTCCAAAAAATTGATACAATCTCACGGAAAACATGCACAGTGTGTTTTGATTATTTTTCATATTTTAAAAGTATCATTCCTTTCGAAAACAAAGAACTGTCTTCGAATTACAAAATCAAGTTAATTAATAGATAACCTGCAGGTAGAGCTTATTTGATTCTTGCCACAGAATGTATTAATGGCCTCCAGAGATAAACAAGAAGGGTATTCAGAGACGCCAGCCTAACTATCAGGACTTTTAAATATAAAGTATACAATTAGAAAGGTACTGTTGTTTGTTCCAAGAAATGATATGATGATCAGAAAGCACAGAGTATTAAACTCTTTTACTCTTCTTTTGAGCAATTAAACAACAAATTAATATGGAGATTCCAATCCCTTAAAACAGTTTACACATTTACATTACATATTGGACATTACTAATATTAATAAGTTGTTTAAGCATCGGTCTAATCACACAAACTGTAAATACACAGACACACACACAGACACAGGTACTTCACACTAGCTCATTAATTAACTAATCAAAGAAAATAGAAGAAAAGAAAAGAAACCCTAGCCAGCTACTTTTATTAATTCTTTTTTATATCATCATCATCAGTAACTCATGTTGACCACAGGCGAATTTGAAGATGGCGATGATGATGTTGTTGAAGTTGGCCAAAGCTGTGCGCTCTTCACCCTTGAAACACTGGCAAGCACGCCTAAAGGGGTAACGTTCCCGATGATCGTCACCTTCTTTGTCTCCAAATCTATACTGAATGATGTCACTCCTGCACACAATTTGTAGTAACACTCTCCTTAAAATACGATAATAGTAATTGGATTTTATTTTTAAAATTAAATAAATAAATAAAATATGGCGGTGCTACTACGTGTGACTGTGTGAGTGACTGAACAATCCGTTAGAGTAATTAATTAGGGTTCAGGCAAAGCAACTAGTAATTAAAGACTTTGATCAGCTTAAATGCTTTTTCACTGAAAAAGGGGTTATAGTTATAGAATTCTGTCTGGTAATTAAAAACTCACCTTCCATTTTTGAGATATGTTTTCTCACTTTTCCTTCACAGCCCTTGCAATGAATTGACACCCTCAAAACCACAACCTGCCGTTTCAAATATCCATAATCTACTATGAACATACCGCTGATGGATGTAGTTGAAAAGATAAATTAAAGATAACTAAAAGGAACAAAATTGAGAGGAACAAAGCCAGATGAAATAACAAACCTGCTGAGGGGACTTAGTTGTTGAAGAGGACTTAATTAAAGCAAGAGACTCGTTTGAACTTACGTGCCGAGACTTTGCAGACTGATCAGCAGGAACCAATGCCGAGACACGATCAGACTCCGATAGCCAGTCAATAAAAGGTTTATCACTTAGGAGATATCGAGACGAACCATGAGTACTGTTCAGATCACTTATATCAGTTGAGCTTTTTCTATGTAAATCACTTTGCTTAGCCGAACTCTTTCTGCTCTTCTCGTGATAAGGCCGGGGAATTATGGGCAATTGTGACGAACAAGGAGCATAAGGTTTTGAGCTATGGCTACGGCGGATGGAACGGTGGTTCACCATGCTAGAGCAGACGGCTGTAGAAGCAGGAGTTGAACAGAAAATATCCATTCCTTTCATGTTGGGAAAAAAAATAAGAGAATGACTTGAAGAGAAGCAACAATGAGTTAAAGAGTGAATATGCTGTTTTGTTTTAGTTGAAGAAAATATAAGAGAGAGTGGTAGAAAGATCTTCCTAATGAGGCCAAGTTATCTGCTTTTAAAGTTCGTGGATGAGAAGATAGAGAAAAAAAGGCAGAAGCTAAAGGACCCACCAGAAAATTAAATTAATTACAGTTGATGATATGTGATTAATCTGGATTCTGGACCTTCAAAGTTGTGTTTAACTTTGATTAATTAAATTTGCTGTGGGGTTAACAAGTTGTGTTGATTAAACTTCTCTGATCCTCATAGAAGGCCGAGCTTTGAAAGTATCAACTATCATTATTAAGTCATAATTGTGTTATTAATTAAGCATTCATACATATAAGTGATTTTTAGCCCAGTTACCTGAAAATCATTTCCCAAACATCAACTATGAGAGTAATACCAAAAAAAGAAATAGTAAACACAAACAAGTAAAGACAGAATAATTAACGCGATTTATCTTGGTTTACCCAATTAACAGATCACGTCTAATAGAGTCAATATTATTGAAATACTATCTCACCTCTCTTGTTACAATGAATGTAATTTGCTTTATAATTTGCTATCACACTCAGATAAGCGAAAAATAAGTTTATATACTAAGTTTAAAGACTAAAACCTAATATTACAATGATCTTTTTTCCTAAACTCAAATCCAATAAGAAATTAATTACTTAAAGAAATCCTAACTCTTCATGGAATAGGCCCCAATCTGACCGAGTAATGGGACCCTTGAATGCATCTGTGTGGCCCTAATTGTTAAAGTGATAGACAACTCTAACATTCCTAGAATCGTTATTTGCAGTTAGTTAATTTTAGTTTGAAGCATAATTAATCATATTAACGCTTACTCCTTTCAAAAGACTGTTGGGTTCGATACTGAAATTAAGGTTAATGTCGGTTCTTTAATATGGAAATCTAGTAGCTTTAATTTCTGCAAATTGATAATGTTAAAAAATAACTGTAGCCTTAAGAAACCATAATGCCTTTACATTTACTTTCATCTACTGTAAACACTTATTTCTTCATTTAATGTGACTGAAAACAAAAGTGAAACATTTAATTTCATTAACTGTTGTCACTTATTTCTTCAATCAATGTACTGAAAGAGCCCAAATATTTCTTCGCAGCAGCACCAAGAGATGACTGATGACCAATGGCTATTTCAACTGTTAATCTGTAAACCGACTTCACCCCCTTTTAAGAATAAGCAAAGATAGCATAAAATAATCAGCATGGGTAAAGCCAGCAGTCAACTAATAACTCTTTTAAGTTTATTACTTAAGAGGTGGTGATTTTGATCCATCTTAATAACATATGAGATCGGCGAAGCAGCTGCTGCTGCATGTATACAATATAAATTATTTTGATTTTAATTACATTTTTATTTCCAAACGGCTACAATTTTCAGTAAATTAAACGTTCCCCTTCATTCATAGATGTTATATATTTTTATTTTGGTTGTCTTCTTCCTTTAAAAAGGGTGATAAGACACCCACAATTTGACCCGGAAAAAAACTTTAACCTAATTATTCAGCTATATGCATAAGATCGCGTGACATAAAAAATTTAATATCATGCACTTACAGTAAAAGTTAAGAGAAAAATTATTTTCTTGTCAAACAAGTGCACCCGAATCCAGGGATTACGAATAGACACGACAAAAAATGGAAGTCAAACTTATCAGCCCATTAGTCATCTTGTCTTCAAATAAAACCAGCGTACTACGGTTTATAAAGATAATGGAAAATAATTTGTGAATAGAAGAAGAGATAGTAGGGTAGATAAATCAAATATTAAGCAGAAAATCAATAGATATGAACAATTTTGAGATCTATGTTGTTGTAAATGAATAAAGAAAATCAAATTAATTTGTAATATCTAATAATTATGATTTGGTTAATTTTGTTGAAAGTGTTGTCAAAAACACAATCTAAATTAAAAAGAAAAGTAAAGAGAACACATAATTTATCTTGGTTCGTTCCAATAAAGGAATTACGTCTAGCATTCAAATATAAAATTTTATCAAGTATCAAAAAACTGCAACAATTATAAAGTATAATGATGGCAGTTCAATCTTGTTCTCTATTTTTTCATACTCTTTAGGTTTCTTACTATTATAGAAACTATATAATAAAAAACTTAACCCCATTTAGGCTCACCTGATCGAACCTTACTTAATCCCATTTGAGCTCACCTGATCGAACCTGACCTAGACTCAAATATTAACAAACTAATTCTAAACTCATTTACTAAGAGAATTATAAGGCATTTCCAACAAATTTTTTAGTCTATTAGATGTAAAAGTAGCATCATTACATTAAGCCCGTGACAGAAATGAATTAATTAATTAAATGTTAATGTCAATGGGGGGAGGCATGGAGATGAGATTAAGAGTTGGATATATTTGTTTATAATTAAAATGCAAAAAGCTAAACAAGATTGCATAATGATCATTTTGTTACCACTTCATAATGCTAACTTTTTTGCGTGTATGATCTAGAAACAAATGGATGTAATGATTAAGCGTAGAAAATGGTTGAGTTGTGTTCCATCAAATGGGTCCATCCACCGCTTTTATAAGAGTAAACGACTTTTTTTTCCCACCCAATGTTTGCCTTACTGACCTTTTCCACCCAAAATGTTTTAAAATGTAATTTTCCCACCCAATGTTTATATTTTGTTTATATCTAGAATACATTTCACTTTCTCAGTCAGTGTTTGACAAGTTACCAAGAGGCAGGGTAAAAGGGTTTTTATAGGGTGGAGGCCGATGGATTAAATGGTGATGACCGATTAAATATTCGCTGCCAGAATCAACCGAAAATCATCTAAGAACAAAAAATCTTAGTTTTATAGTGATTGACAATCGACAAAAAATCAAGTACCGGAGTGAGAGGGGTTTTATATAAAAAAGATCGGAGGTTCAAATGGTAGTGACAAAGATAATTTTTGCCGTCAGAATCTGTTTTGGGTAGTAACAGAATATTAATTTTGGGTGAAAAAGTAGTATATAGAAACTTTTTGGGTAGAAAGGTAATTAAGGGAAACCTTGGTTGGGGAAAAGTTGTTTACTCTTTTAATTATTGAGTGGCGTGGTGAAATTCGAAATCACAAAGTACGAACAATCATCAATTCTCCACTGATTACCACTAATCTTTTTTTATCAATTTTTTACCATATGATTATCGATTCTGCATTTCCAGGAACCGATCCACCATTTAACTAACCAATAAAAATCCTTTAACTGCCCTTCATTTTTTTTTTTTTTTTTTTTTTTCATGTAAAGACAGTGGCTGCCCTGCCTACCCGCCCTTTTTGAAATTGGAGAAGATCAAACAACCCCACAAGCTTTCTGATTATCTTTATAAATATCACGTTTGATACATTTTATGGATGTTAAATCGTATTAATTCCATGTTTAACTTGATTTTGTAAAGCATATATAAAAGCTTTCGTTTAATTTAATTGTACAAGTGTTGTTATTAATCAATCATGCATTTAGAGTTTTAAATGATATTGAGACTGGTCGTTTTGAGTGATCTTGCTTTATCTGGTGATTAGATTTGGGTTGTTTTTTTATTTTTTCCTCATGATACAGGTTATTCTGCTGGAACTTATTTTCTATCATGTCATCATAATTAACTAATCTGAACTCATATTCCAGAATCTAGTGTTTATATATATATAGAGAGAGAGAGAGAAGAAGAAGAAGATTAACAAATTATCGCCAGATTAATACACACAAAGGAGATACTTTAAATGAATTAACATACATATTAATCCATTAATATATACACCTTTAATTAATCTCTCTCAAGTTCTCTTTTCTCCCTTGGTACGTCTTTACATTCGTCTCTTTTAAACCTTTATCAGTTGAATGATCTGAGCTTGAAATATGATAATATTTGATGCTCTGCAGATGGGTCTGAATCTGATTCATTAATTAAAATTAAATCATTTGTTTTATAAAAAAAATAATCACGCGTTTAAAGAAGAAGTGGGCCTTTACTTTTCTTTTTTCTTTGGTTTGATCCGAGTTTGTAATTAAATACTGTTCTCTCTTCTTCTCTTTTGTGTACTTTTTCTAAGTCCACACGTTACTCAGCGTCCTTGCTGCGATATTGTCTCAAAGTTTTGGTACAAAAGAATTTAGTTATCTACTTTTCATTCTTCTTTGTTGAATACTTTAATTACTAATTATCTGCTTTATATTTTACTTGCAGAATGCCTAAAATTAAATTATGATAATGTTAAAGATTATTCACGGTACATGTCATTGATGGTATCATTTTTGAAAGGGATCCCCAAATCCATATGCATTGCATGTGCTCTGTAATTCACTAGTTACTCAAGTTTATGCTGAATTGCTTTCCTTCTGGCTACTCTCTGAAAAAGCCACTCTGTGCTCCTCGGCCAATCTAAAACAACCAACAATTTATACACATGTATTGTTAAGTTATCAAATTAATGCTTCATTTTATTAAACCAAATATATAACATCAATATAAAACATTATTTGCAAATTCATTTGAAGCTTGTTAGAACTCAAACCCAAGAGAAAGTCTAACCCAAAAGACCGGTTTGATAAGTGGGAGAGCTCTTAGGTTTAATTACAACATTTGGTAGGTGTAAGATCCCGATATGGGATCCTAACGTTGTACCCCACGTTCAAGAGTCAATGTCTACGACAACTTTTACTCTATCGATACTAACCCAACAGTAGCCCTTTCTGTCTTTGAACGGCTTCACTTACCTATCAGTTATTTGATGTAACACTCTTTTTAAGAAAAGCACAGTACTATACCTTAATATAGTCTATTTAAGAAAAGCACACTATATCTTAATACAGCCTATAAGTAGCTATTTTTGTAATTCAACTCTTAATGAGAGTACTAATGTTAGAACTCAATCTTAAAGAAGAATTCAACACAAAAGACCGATCTTATAAATGGAAGATCTCCCAATCTTAAGTATCATAGTTGGTGGGTGCGGGATCCTATATGGAATCCTAACAGAGCCCTTTGCCTCTTTTACTTTCCTCAAGGACATGGTGTTGTGCCCGAGCTGTTTTATCGTTTGACTCAAACTGTAATACGGTCAAATTTCAAATCATCTTCAAAGATGATTTATTATACCATGTGAGTTATTTTCTTCCCTCTTGTCTTTTGTTTATATATGGTACAGGGGGTAGTTTGCTTATAGTCCTTTTAGGACATGTGGCGATCTTTTAAGGTGGTTTCATTAAAACCAATCAATCATGTCAAATGGCAACTCAAGCCAGGGCCACACCAGAGACAAAGAGGTTAGATAGGGTTTCATCAAAGACAAGAGTTGGTATGACAGATAGGTAATCTCCAAGAAGTATATGGGCTTCATCAAAGAATCAAAGACAAGAGTTGGTATGATAGAAAGGTAATCTCCAAGAAGTCTATGGGTTTCATCAAGGACAAGAGTTGGTATGACAGAAAGTAATCTCCCATAAGTGTGTGGTTATAAATTAAGAGTAATAGTACATTTATAAAAAAAAAATTATAAAGACCTCTATAGATGTGTATGGGTATAAATTAAGAATAATAGTATACTTAAAAAAAAAAAATTATAAAAATTTCTATATAAAGTGATGTGATAAAAAATGAATGGAAGAGTGAATTTAATAAGTTTAACTTTTTGTTTTACTCTTTTATTTATTTTTTATCATCTCACTTTGTATAAAAATCTGTGTAAGAATTTTTTGTAAGTATAATATTATTGATAAATTAACGAGGAAGACTGTTCTTTCAAGCAAGACAAAAACACTCACAGACTTGAGACAAAACACTCAAAAAAGAGAAGAAAAAAAACATATAATAATTTCTTCTTCCCTCGTGAAAGTTAATACTTATTTAATTATCCTTTACCATATTGTAAACTGACTTGAGCCATCCGAAAATGTATGCCAACAAGACAACCACCCCTGTCGGCCTTCCTAAGTCCTAACTCCGCTGTCTTTTGCAAGACATCAATTACAGTTGGGCTAATAGAAGGAGTTTCCTCTTTAAAAGCTCAGGCCCGATTCCTCGGATTTACAAGTGCTAGCCCAATTGATATGGACAAAGACCCAAATCAATTACAGTCAAATATATATTGGGGCAGTTGATAGAATTGCCCAATAAAGAATTGACTTGTGTGGAAATCTTATTTGAGGATAAAACTTATAGTAAGTGTCTTAATACCAATGAAGTGGGCCTAATTGCCATTTCCAAAATATACGGATTCAGAATTTGGGCCAATCTTGAATTTTCATAAAGTGGATCTATTGGTACTCTACTAATGGACTTAAAAAACTACAGTTTTTAATAAATTTTATAATAACAAATTTATTCTTATATTAATTTATTAAAATTAACTTTAATTTTATATTCCTTATAAGTGCTTTTGACACCCCACTATTATCTCACAAACCCTATTCTTCTTTTTTGATGCTACTCAAATAATTCATAGAACAAAAAATAGTTTAATAGAAGGAAAAAAATTGCAATGAGATATATCAGGTTACATGCAATATAAAATTCTAAGTTTTTAATTGCTTCAAATATAATTTTTTTTTTTTTTAAGTATTGGTAGCTATTTTCAATCATTATATTTTTTGTGTTGTTAAACTATATCATGTTTCTTGGGATTATTTGTAATGATTTTTTTTTTTCAACTTTAATTTTCTATGAACCTTCAATTTAATTATTTAGAATTGTATTTCAGGAATAACAATAGTAGGGGTATATAGCATAAGTGAAGAGAATAAATTGTTAACTCTTTTATAATATATAAAAAAAAAAAATGAAATGAAGGACATTTATGGAATTTATGAGTTGTAAAAAAAAAAAAAATTAATTTTAAAACTTTGAAAAAGGTATCTTAAGAAATAAAGCTTCTTTAGTCTATTAGTCAGATGCCAATTAAGGGTGTTCGAAAACGATTAACCAAACTTGTTAACTGCACAAAACAATTTTTCGGTTTAGGAAAATTCCTTAACCGAAACCGAACCGATTTGGGAGGAAAACCAGTTTTTCCCCTTTTATTGGATAAAACTTTTTTTTTTTTTCTAAATTAAATTGTAAACATCAACAATACAAATCCAAATAAAAATTAATCATTCATACATATATAATATGTATTATCTAGTGAATTTGTGGATTAAGATTATTAGTTTTATTTAATATATAATATATATTATTTTTTATTTAATATATAAATATAAATAAATATATATATATATAAACTAGTTCAAAAAAACGGTTTCAGTTAACCGGTTTTCATTTTTACTTGAGCCGAAAACCGAACCTAAAATTTGGTTTTTAAAATTTTTTAAATCGTAACTGATTCGTTTTTCGGTTAATCGGTTTTTTAGTTCAGTTCGGTTTTTACATTTTTTTTTTAACACCCTTAATGCCAATAACTTCATTCATTTTCACAAGATAGTCAATATTCAGAATCAATTCATAAGTTAATGGAATAACATAAGGAATCATGAGTGGGGTCTAACGAGTAATTTTGAGTAGCCCTCACATTATTATAATAGCCCCCATTTTAAGGGTATATTTATAGTAAAAAAATAATAGAGGGGTTTAAGAAAAAGAAATAAATATATTTGCTACATTACAGTTTATTTAATATAAAAGACATGAAATAAAATTTATTTACTTTGTCATATTTGATTATAAAAATAATTAAAATTTCTTACAAAAAAAAAAATCTTACCGTTAGTCCTCATTAAAAAAGATAGTGAGGGCTAAAATTGAGTAATGTTATATTTACACCACTCTTTTACATCATTTTTATTATATTATGATGTGGCATATGCTACAACCACACAAATTTTATTATAATATTAAAAGTTAAAAATAATTAAAAATTTATGTAAATGTAACATCATTCGGCTAAAATTAGAAGAACTTGGATCTACAGTTGATATTGAATGATATAACCCAGATTCAAGAATAGCCCACAGCCAATTTGAACATGGCCCAATCTGGAAAGCGTATGCAATTGGCCCAGAATAAAATAAAACGAGGCCTGCTAGGCCTCGTTTTTGTCCACAGGTGTACAAAGCTCGTGTGCCCCGAAAAAGGGTTTTACTTGCAAACTGGTATTAAAACAGCTTAACGGAGCTAGGGTTTACTTTACTCTCAAACACTTAATCTTCAGAAACAAAGAGTCAAGGAGCCAGCAGCCATGGGTAAGACCAACATATCGAAATAAACATAAAATTACCTTGCATTTCAAACAGTAACTTATTTGTTTCTTATTTAATTTTAAATGTAATAGCAAGAATCAAGGTTCATGAGCTGAGGAACAAATCGAAGACTGAGTTATTGAGCCAGTTGAAAGATCTGAAAGCAGAGCTCGCTCTTCTCCGAGTGGCCAAGGTCACTGGTGGTGCACCCAACAAGCTATCCAAGATGTAAATACACTATCTTTTTTGCTCATTATTTATAAATAATAATATTATGATCATATTGATGTTGATTTTTTTGATAAAATTTGCAGTAAGGTTGTGAGGCTGTCAATAGCGCAGGTGTTAACAGTTATTTCACAGAAGCAGAAGGCGGCTCTAAGAGAAGCTTACAAGAACAAGAAGTTGTTGCCTCTTGATCTCCGTCCTAAGAAGACCAGAGCTATTCGTAGGCGTCTCACCAAGCATCAGGTATTCTATATTTTTTGTTTTAATTTTCGGTTACTATGTTTGATAAATGTTGTATTAGTTTCTAGCAATTTAGTTGGACATTGCTTCCTGGTTTGTAGTATGATTGCTTACTAAAAAGTTAATTGATAATAGTACATATGTACTAAGATTGCTATTTTTTCTCTATGATATTTCTTTTGTTGTGATCTTCCTTTGTTTAAATGGGATTGGTCAGTTTGGTTTGAACCTTTGCAATGTATACTATTTTGAATGCAAGGGGTGTCATTCATATGAATTTTTGAAATGTAGTAATTATAATCTTACTCTTAAATAAAAGTTATAAAATCATAATAGTTTCGATAAAAAAAAATGAAATAATTTTGTCATACACTTGGTAATCTCCACCTTTTCATTACCTCTCATCCTTTTTAATTTTTGTTCCTATTAATACCTCTCATGCTATTTTATTTCGCTTGTATGAATACCTTTCATCCATTCAAATCCCCTAAACACTCAAGATGGTACTTACTTTCAGAAAGTTGTCCACCCATCTAATAACATCATGTGATATATGCATTCATTTTAAAACCAACTAATTGTGATTGTGGTTAGTCGTCAGCCCATCTAATACCATCATGTCATATATGCATTTGTTTTAAAAACCAGCTGATCATGTTTGTGGTTAATTGTCAGCCCAACCGATAACATCATGTCATATATGCAGTTGCTTTAAAACCAACTGATCATGGTTGTGGTTAGTTGCCTGCCCATGCTACTCAAGTTTTTTCCAATTTTTGTTTAAGTTCCTTTGGCAATTATTAAGATAAGAAGTGAAATATTAGTGTCCCATGTGTTCAAATGGTACTTTTGTTAGGTTTACACAACTGATGAGGGTGCAGTATTGTTTCATGTTCAAATTTATAATTGAGTTAGGCTAATGGGGCGAAGAGAGATTTGGAATTGTTGCATTGTGATTATTTATGATAGAATTCTTGTTATATTTGAACTATTGTGCAATTTGAGTTGAATATCTTTCCCAGATTGTATTGCTAGAGTCTTCTGAATTTTGGAATTGATGGACCATATCTTTGCCTCCTTTATTCAACATAATCTAGAATTGGATGAAAGTGGAAAAAGACCAGGATTCAGTTTAAAGATTCTCTCTTAGAAAGGAGATGTGAAGGAAATATTTATGTATCTTTTGAGACGTGGTAGCTTAAAAAAAAAGGAGACCAGTTTCTAGCTAGTTATTGTGTATAATCCAATGATTTTTTAAAGTGAAAAATAATTGACTTTGATATCGTCAATTAGTCAACTCTGAGTTTTGATTAATGGTTGGGAGGTTGTATTCCATTGAGTTCAAAATCTCAAGTCACAATAACTTGTTCTATACATATGTCGGCATTCATCTCTGCGATTTCTCTTCGTTGCTACTGCTTTTGCCATTTCTCCATGACTGTTATTGTTCTGTTAACTAATTTGATCTCTCTTTTCCCTTTTGTTTTATGTAGGCATCTTTGAAGACGGAACGTGAAAAGAAGAGGGAGATGTACTTCCCAATGAGGAAGTATGCCATTAAGGTGTAGGAAAGATTGGATTAGGGAGGAGATCTTGATGTTCAACTTATCAAATGCGATCACTACAAGGATATTGTTTATTATTTTTGTGCTGTTGAATTTTAGATTTTGTTTTTCTTACTCTCAACCTGTTTGCCTATCATGGATTTCAAACTTTAATGTGTTCTTAGGTTTTTTCCTTGAAAATAGAGAGTTTAAAGTTTCTTGCTTAAGTAAAACATCTTTTAGTGCTGCCCTTCATGTTATTATACACACCATTAATAAGTTTTCTTTTGCATGTCTTTTTAAATGAAGTATGCAAATCAAGTTCAATGTGTGATCATTTAATGTTGATATCAAAATTCCGTAGATCAGAGATGGAATAAGACATAGAACAGTGGAATTTGTGATGAGAAAGTTTGCATTTTGAGTCACATCAATCTTGTTCTTTGAGTAGAGTTTTTAGATATTAAAAAGAAAATTTTTGAATTCATATTCATTTTTTATATAGCCTCTTTCAATGATTATGGATCACGTTAAAACTACTGTTTTAAAACTTAGACGGCCAGTCCGATTGAGACTTGGGCTCCACTTCGGTTTGAATTATTATTAAACCCGTTAATCCTAAAAGAGCTGCTTTGGATCGGTGTTACAGTACAAACCGTTCGGTCCGATCGACCCAAAACTTATTTGGGTCTATTAATTGAGCCTTAAAAAAAACCTAATCTTAATTCTCTTGCGTCGGTTTCATTCGCCATAAGGCATTTCAATCGCCGCAACTTCCATTTTCATCTCCAAACCGCAGCATCCATTTTCATCTTCTCTTAAGTGTAAAGTTACACTTACTTTCTCATCTTCTTCAACTTATTTCGTCCATCAAAATCCAATCTTCTTCATCGAAATCAAAGACCTGGAATTCGTTAACGAAATCATGACTACGACACTACGTCAGCTTCGTTTCGCAGTAGAGTAGACACTCAGTCCATAATCAGGATGTTGCATTTGCTCATCTCGGTCATCATCATGTTGAGTAATTATGGATTCACGAATCAACTCCTTTACCATTGCTCCAACACCCATTGTTTTTGTATCAAAATCGTTCTTCTACACATCTCTTTCAACTTCCTCAACCTTCTGCTTCTGCACTTGCTCTCTTCTCTCTTTGTTCGCCTCCATCACAGTCACAAATCTTTTGAGTTGTGTTGGAGATTTTCTAGAGTATTCATAGATTCCCTCACCCACTCGTGGCTTGAGTTAAGGAGTACCTGTCCTACCTCTCACATGCCAACATTTATGAGCGTACACGTATCATCTGATAATTTAAAATGATAGAAAGTGTAGGTGTAATTGGGATTGGGCGTTCATTTTCCAACAAAACATAGAGGCTCCATGAGTGTAATCAAAACCCAGTTTGCTATAAGTCCATTACTCCATTTGCATTTTTAACTTCTAGAAACACAATTAAATAGACTCAAAAAATTCTTTCAATCTCATCTCACAAGTCCAACCGACGATCCAATCAGTTGAACCTTGACCTGGTCACCTTGCCGGGTCTTACAGTAGGTCAGTTTTTAAAACAGAAGTTAAAACTCTGATTTTCTAAATGATGAGATTAAGGGAAGGAGATGAGGTCATTTTTTTTTTTTTTGGAACAAATTAAATATATATTTTCATTTAATCAATTTTACATAAATAACAATATTCTTTATTTATTGAAAATGAATGGGATTTTTTTTTCACCCAAAAAAAAAATATATATATGGGTTTTAATGTTGTAACGTGACTTGTATGCTTGAGTTACTATTAAGTTCACTAAAGCTTGACTAAGAGGCACTGGGGTTCACATTTTTATCCGTGTGAAATACCGTTGTGTCGAACCATCATCCACCACAAGAAATTGGTGGCCCGCCTCTTTCCGCGGATTCATATATGTATATATAATTATATATATATACCGTTNTATGAACAATTTTGAGATCTATGTTGTTGTAAATGAATAAAGAAAATCAAATTAATTTATAATATCTAATAGAGTAAACGACATATTCCCACCCAAGGTTTGACGAAATCCCAAGTTAGTACCACTGGTTTCATTTATTCCAGATTTCCACCCTTAAAGTAACAGTGTTATGAATTTTTAGGGTTTAGAGGGTGCAATTACCATAATGCCCTTAACCCTAAATTAATAAATTATGTTTTAACCCCTAAATTAGTAAAATTACAATACTTACCATTTTATTTTCAAATTATATCAAAAACACCCTCGGTTACTATACACCCTCACCGGAAACAGCCCGATCTAGGCTATTTCCGACGACGTCGAACCCCCTGGTCACCTCCATCAGCTTCCCTGTAGTCCGTCGTCCAAAACCCCTCTAGTTCCCGACTCATTTGCCCCTCCAATCGCCGGCACCATTAGGCTTAGGGTTTCGATGTTCTTCATTGGATTCCGATCGATTCCGACGATGAAAATCCAATTGGACACCACCAATGTAACCACCGTCCCAAAATATATAAAACCCCTATGTCCCCAGCAACCGTTTCGTCGTCATTCGTCGGCCGAGAGTTCGTGTTCATCGGTCGTTTTTCGTTGCCGTGGCCGGAGATCGACGAGTGATGAGAGGTTGTGAATGGTATGGTTTTGTAGAGGGGAGGGTAGGGGTTCAAATGGTGGTGACAAGGGTAATTTTGGGTGGAAGAATCACCGGAAAATAGCGAAAAACGGCGGGGAACGACGGCTGCTAACGTGCACCGGAGGACTGTTAGAGGCGGTGGTTTGCTAACGTGCGCCTCCCATGTAAAATGACCAATTTACCCCTTTACCGTTACATTAAACATTTTTTCGTCACTTTAAGGGTGGGAATCTGGAATAAATGGAACCAATATGACTAACTTGAGATTTTGTCAAACCTTGGGTGGGAATATGTCGTTTACTCTATCTAATAATTATGATTTGGTTAATTTTGTTGAAAGTGCTGTCAAAAACACAATCTAAATAAAAAAGAAAAGTAAAGAGAACACACAATTTATCTTGGTTCGTTCCAATAAAAAAATTATGTCTAATATTTAAATATATAATTTTATTGAGTATCAAAAAACTACAACAATTATAAAGTACAATGATAACAGTTCACTCTTGCTCTCTATTTTTTCATACTCTTTAGGTTTTTCACTATTATAAAAACTATATAATAGAAAATGTAACCTTAATCGGACTTATCTGATCTAACTTGACTCATACTCAAATATTAACAAACTAATTCTAAACTCATTTACTAAGAGAATTATAAACCATATCCAATAAATTTTTAGTTTATTAAATGTAAAAGTAACATCATTACATTAAGCCCGTGACAGAAATGAATTAATTAATTAAATGTTAATGTCAATGGGGGGAGGCATGGAGATGAGATTAAGAGTTGGATATATTTGTTTATAATTAAAATGCAAAAAGCTAAACAAGATTGCATAATGATCATTTTGTTAACACTTCATAATGCTAACTTTTTTTCGTGTATGATTTAGAAACAAATGGATGTAATGATTAAGCGTAGAAAATGGTTGAGTTGTGTTCCATCAAATGGGTCCATCTACCGCTTTTATAAGAGTATACGACTTTTTTTTCCCACCCAATGTTTGCCTTACTAACTTTTCCACCCAAAAAGTTTTAAAATTTAATTTTCCCACCCAACATTTATACTTTGTTTATACCTAGAATACATTTCACTTTCTCAGTCAGCGTTTGGCAAGTTACCAAGATGCAAAGTAAAAGGGTTTTTGTAGGGTAGAGGCCGATGGATTAAATGGTGGTGACCGATTGAATATTTGCCGCCAGAATCAACCGAAAATCATCTAAGAACAAAAAACCTTAGTTTTGCGGTGATTGACAATCGACAAGAAATCAAGTACCGGAGTGAGAGAGATTTTGTATAAAAAAGACCGGAGGTTCAAATGGTAGTGACAAAAATAATTTTTGCCATTGGAATCGGTTTTGGGTAGTAACGGAATATTAATTTTGGGTGAAAAAGTAGTATTTAGAAACTTTTTGGGTAGCAAGGTCATTAAGGGAAACCTTGGTTGGGGAAAAGTTGTTTACTGTTTTCATTATTGAGTGGCGTGGTGAAATTCGAAATCACAAAGTACGAACAATCATCAATTCTCCACTGATTACCACTAATCTTTTTTAATCAATTTTTCACCATATGATTATCGATTCTGCATTTCCAGGAACCGAACCACCATTTAACGAACCAATAAAAATCCTTTAACGGCCCTTCATTTTTTTTTAATGTAAAGGCAGTGGCTGCCCTGCCTAACCGCCCTTTTTGAAATGGGAGAAGATCAAACAACCCCACAAGCTTTCTGATTATCTTTATTAATACCACGTTTGATACATTTTATGGATGTTATATCGTATTAATTCCATGTTTAACTTGATTTTGTAAAGCATATATAAAAGCTTTCATTTAATTTAATTGTACAAGTGTTGTTATTAATCAATCATACATTTAGAGTTTTAAATGATATTGAGACTGATCGTTTTGAGTGCTCTTGCTTTATCTAGTGATTAGATTTGGGTTGTTTTTTTATTTCTTCCTCATGATACAGGTTATTCTGCTGGAACTTATTTTCTATCATGGCATCATAATTAACTAATCTGAACTCATATTCCAGAATCTAGTGTTTATATATATATAGAGAGAGAGAGAGAAGAAGAAGAAGATTAACAAATTATCGCCAGATTAATACACACAAAGGAGATACTTTAAATGAATTAACATACATATTAATCCATTAATATATACACCTTTAATTAATCTCTCTCAAGTTCTCTTTTCTCCCTTGGTACGTCTTTACATTCGTCTCTTTTAAACCTTTATCAGTTGAATGATCTGAGCTTGAAATATGATAATATTTGATGCTCTGCAGATGGGTCTGAATCTGATTCATTAATTAAAATTAAATCATTTGTTTTATAAAAAAAATAATCACGCGTTTAAAGAAGAAGTGGGCCTTTACTTTTCTTTTTTCTTTGGTTTGATCAGAGTTTGTAATTAAATACTGTTCTCTCTTCTTCTCTTTTGTGTACTTTTTCTAAGTCCACACGTTACTCAGCGTCCTTGCTGCGATATTGTCTCAAAGTTTTGGTACAAAAGAATTTAGTTATCTACTTTTCATTCTTCTTTGTTGAATACTTTAATTACTAATTATCTGCTTTATATTTTACTTGCAGAATGCCTAAAATTAAAGTATGATAATGTTAAAGATTATTCATGGTACATGTCATTGATGGTATCATTTTTGAAAGGGATCCCCAAATCCACATGCATTGCATGTGCTCTGTAATTCATTAGTTACTCAAGTTTATGCTGAATTGCTTTCCTTCTGGCTACTCTCTGAAAAAGCCACTCTGTGCTTCTCAGCCAATCTAAAACAACCAAATATTTTATACACATGTATTGTTAAGTTATCAAATTAATGCTTCATTTTATTAAACCAAATATATAACATCAATATAAAACATTATTTGCAAATTCGTTTGGAGCTTGTTAGAACTTAAACCCAAAAAAAAGCCTAATCCAAAAGACCGGTTTGATAAGTGGGAGAGCTCTTAGGCTTAAGTACAATACTTGACGGGTGTAAGATCTCGATATGGGATCCTAATGTTACACCCCACGTTCAAGAGTTAATGTCTGCGATAACTTTCACTCTATTGACACTGACCTCACGGTAGACTTTTTTGTCTTTGAACAGCTTCATTCACCTATCAATTATTCGATGTAAAACTTTTTTTTTTTTTAAAAAAGCACATTATAGCTTAATATAACCTATAAGTAGTCATTTTTGCAATTCAACTCTTAATGAGAATATCAATGTTAGAACTCAATTCTAAAGTAGAGTTAAACAAAATATCGGTATGATAAGTGGCAGATCTCCCACCCTTAATATCATAGTTGATGGGTGCGAGATCCCATATGGAATCCTAACAGAGCACTTTGCCTCTTTTACTTTCCTCAAGGACATGGTGTTGTGCCCGAGCTGTTATATCGTTTGACTCAAACTGTAATACGGTCAAATTTCAAATCATCTTCAAAGATGATTTATTATACCATGTGAGTTATTTTCTTCCCTCTTGTCTTTTGTTTACATATGGTAAGGCGGTAGTGCTTAAAGTCCTTTTAGGACATGTGGCGATCTTTTAGGGTGGTTTCATTAAAACCAATCAATCATGTCAAATGGCAACTCAAGCCAGGGCCACACCAGAGACAGAGACGTTAGTTAGGGTTTCATCAAAGACAAGAGTTGGTATGACAGATAGGTAATCTCCAAGAAGTCTATGGGTTTCATCAAAGACAAGAGTTGGTATGACAGAAAGTAATCTCCCATAAGTGTACGGATATAAACTAAGAGTTAATAATACAGTTAAAAAAAAAATTATAAAATTTTTTATACAAAAGGATGTGAAAAAAATGAATAGAAAAATAAATTTAATAAATTTAATTTTTTGTTTTATTCTTCTATTTATTTTTTATCATCTCATTCTGTATGAAAATTTTTATAAAATTTTTTTATAAATATAATATTATTGATAAATTAACGAGGGAGATTATTCTTTCAAGCATGACACAAACACTCATAGACTTGAGACAAAACACTAAAAAAGAGAAGAAAAAAAACATATAATAATTTCTTCTTCCCTCGTGAAAGTTAATGCTTATTTAATTATCCTTTACCATATTGTAAACTGACTTGAGCCATCCGAAAATGTATGCCAACAAGACAACCACCCCTGTTGGCCTTCCTAAGTCCTAACTCCGTTGTCTTTTGCAAGAGATCAATTACAGTTGGGCTAATAGAAGGAGTTTCCTCTTTAAAAGCTCAGGCGCGATTCCTCGGATTTACAAGTGCTAGCCCAATTGATATGGACAAAGACCCAAATCAATTACATTCAAATATATATTGCGGCAGTTGATAGAATTGCCCAATAAAGAATTGACTTGTGTGGAAATCTTATTTGAGGATAAAACTTATAGTTAGTGTCTTAATACAAATGAAGTGGGCCTAATTGCCATTTCCAAAATATACGGATTCAGAATTTGGGCCAATCTTGAATTTTTATAAAGTGGACCTATTGGTACTCCAATAAAGGACTTAAAAAACTACATTTTTTAATAAATTTTATAATAACAAATTTATTCTTATATTAATTTATTAAAATTAACTTTAATTTTCTATTCCTTACAAGTGCTTTTGACACCCCACTATTATCTCACAAACCCTATTCTTCTTTTTTTATGCTACACAAATAATTCATAGAACAAAAAATAATTTAATAGAAGAAAAAAATTTGCAACGAGATATATCAGGTTACATGCAATATAAAATTCTAAGTTTTTAATTGCTTCAAACATAGATTTTTTATTATTTTTTTCAAAGTATTGGTAGCTATTTTTCAATCATTATATTTATTGTGTTGTTAAACTATATCATGTTTCTTGGGATTATTTGTAATGATTTTTTTTTTTCAACTTTAATTTTCTATGAACCTTCAATTTAATTATCTAGAATTGTATTTTAGGAATAACAATAGTAGGGGTATATAGCATCAGTGAAGAGAATAAATTGTTACCTCTTTTATAATATTAAAAAAAAAAATGAAGGACATTTATGAAATTTATGAGTTGTAAAAAAAAAAAAAAAAAACAATTAATTTTAAAACTTTGAAATAAGGTATCTTAAGAAATAAAGCTTCTTTAGTCTATTAGTGACATGCCAATTAGGGGTGTTTGAAAACGGTTAATCGAACCTGTTAACTGCTTTCTTGAACCGAACCGGTTTTTTGGTTCAAGAAAATTCCTGAACCGAAACCAAACCGGTTTGGGAGGAAAACCAATTTTCCCCTTTTTATTGGATAAAACATTTTTTTTTTAATTTTCCTAAATTAAATTGTAAACATTAACAATACATATCCAAATAAAAATTAAAAATTAAACATTCATACATATGTAATATATATTATCTAGTGAATTTAGGGATTAAGATTATTATTTTTATTTAATATATAATATATATTATTTTTATATTTAATATATATATATATTTTAGTAAACTAGTTCAAAAAACCAGTTTCGGTTAACCGTTTTCAGTTCGATTTGGTTTTTGTATTTTTTTTAACACCCCTAATGCCAATAACTTCATTCATTTTCATAAGATATGATGACCAATAGTCAATATTCAGAATCAATTCATAAGTTAATGGAATAACATAAGGAATCATAAGTGGGGTCTAATGAGTAATTTTGAGTAGCCCTCACATTATATTAATAGCCCCCATTTTAAGGGTATATTTATAGTAAAAAAAATAATAGAGGGGTTTAAGAAAAAGAAATAAATATAGTTGCTACATTACTGTTTATTTAATATGAAAGACATGAAATAAAATTTATTTACTTTGTCATATTTGATTATAACAATAATTAAAATGTCTTAAAAAAAAAAAAAAAAACTTACCGTTAGTCCTCGTTAAAAGAGAGAGTGAGGGCTAAAATTAGAAGAACTTGGATCTACAGTTGATATTGAATGATATAACCCAGATTCAAGAATAGCCCACAGCCAATTTGAACATGGCCCAATCTGGAAAGCGTATGCAATTAGCCCAGAATAAAATAAGAGGAGGCCGAGCAGGTCTCGTTTTTGTCCACAGGTATACAGAACTCGTGTGCCCCGAAATAGGGTTTTACTTGCAAACTGATATTAAAACAGCTTAACGGAGCTAGGGTTTACTTTACTCTCAAACACTTAATCTTCAGAAACAGAGAGTCAAGGAGCCAGCAGCCATGGGTAAGACCAACATATGGAAATAAACATAAAATTACCTTGCATTTCAAACAGTTACTTATTTGTTTCTTATTTAATTTTAAATGTAATAGCAAGAATCAAGGTTCATGAGCTGAGGAACAAATCGAAGACTGAGTTATTGAGCCAGTTGAAAGATCTGAAAGCAGAGCTCGCTCTTCTCCGAGTGGCCAAGGTCACTGGTGGTGCACCCAACAAGCTATCCAAGATGTAAATACACTATCTTTTTTGTTCATTATTTATAAATAATAATATTATGATCATATTGATGTTGATTTTTTTGATAAAATTTGCAGTAAGGTTGTGAGGCTGTCAATAGCGCAGGTGTTAACAGTTATTTCACAGAAGCAGAAGGCGGCTCTAAGAGAAGCTTACAAGAACAAGAAGTTGTTGCCTCTTGATCTCCGTCCTAAGAAGACCAGAGCTATTCGTAGGCGTCTCACCAAGCATCAGGTATTCTATATTTTTTGTTTTAATTTTCGGTTACTATGTTTGATAAATGTTGTATTAGTTTCTAGCAATTTAGTTGGACATTGCTTCCTGGTTTGTAGTATGATTGCTTACTAAAAAGTTAATTGATAATAATATATATGTACTAAGATTGCTATTTTTTCTCTATGATGTTTCTTTTGTTGTGATCTTCCTTTTTTTAAATGGGATTGGTCAGTTTGGTTTGAACCTTTGCAATGTATACTATTTTGAATGCAAGGGGTGCCATTCATATGAATTTTTGAAATGTAGTAATTATAATCTTACTCTTAAATAAAAGTTATAAAATCATAATAGTTTCGATAAAAAAATGAAATAATCTTGTCATACACTTGGTAATCTCCACCTTTTCATTACCTCTCATCCTTTTTAATTTTTGTTCCTATTAATACCTCTCATGCTATTTTATTTCGCTTGTATGAATACCTTTCATCCATTCAAATCCCCTAAACACTCAAGATGGTCCTTACTTTCAGAAAGTTGTCCACCCATCTAATAACATCATGTGATATATGCATTCATTTTAAAACCAACTAATTGTGATTGTGGTTAGTCGTCAGCCCATCTAATACCATCATGTCATATATGCATTTGTTTAAAAACCAGCTGATCATGTTTGTGGTTAATTGTCAGCCCGACTGATAACATCATGTCATATATGCATTTGCTTTAAAACCAACTGATCATGGTTGTGGTTAGTTGCCTGCCCATGCTACTCAAGTTTTTTCCAATTTTTGTTTAAGTTCCTTTGGCAATTATTAAGAAAAGAAGTGAAATATTAGTGTCCCATGTGTTCAAATGGTAATTTTGTTAGGTTTACACAACTGATGAGGGTGCAGTATTGTTTCATGTTCAAATTTATAATTGAGTTAGGCTAATGGGGCGAAGAGAGATTTGGAATTGTTGCATTGTGATTATTTATGATAGAATTCTTGTTATATTTGAACTATTGTGCAATTTGAGTTGAATATCTTTCCCAGATTGTATTGCTAGAGTCTTCGGAATTTTGGAATTGATGGACCATATCTTTGCCTCCTTTATTCAACATAATCTAGAATTGGATGAAAGTGGAAAAAGACCAGGATTCAGTTTAAAGATTCTCTCTTAGAAAGGAGATGTGAAGGAAATATTTATGTATCTTTTGAGACGTGGTAGCTTAAAAAAAAAGGAGACCAGTTTCTAGCTAGTTATTGTGTATAATCCAATGATTTTTTAAAGTGAAAAATAATTGACTTTGATATTGTCAATTAGTCAACTCTGAGTTTTGATTAATGGTTGGGAGGTTGTATTCCATTGAGTTCAAAATCTCAAGTCACAATAACTTGTTCTATACATATGTCGGCATTCATCTCTGCGATTTCTCTTCGTTGCTACTGCTTTTGCCATTTCTCCATGACTGTTATTGTTCTGTTAACTAATTTGATCTCTCTTTTCCCTTTTGTTTTATGTAGGCATCTTTGAAGACAGAACGTGAAAAGAAGAGGGAGATGTACTTCCCAATGAGGAAGTATGCCATTAAGGTGTAGGAAAGATTGGATTAGGGAGGAGATCTTGATGTTCAACTTATCAAATGTGATCACTACAAGGATATTGTTTATTATTTTTGTGCTGTTGAATTTTAGATTTTGTTTTTCTTACTCTCAACCTGTTTGCCTATCATGGATTTCAAACTTTAATGTGTTCTTAGGTTTTTTCCTTGAAAGTAGAGAGTTCAAAGTTTCTTGCTTAAGTAAAACATCTTTTAGTGCTGCCCTTGATGTTATTATACACCATTAATAAGTTTCCTTTTGCATGTCTTTTTAAATGAAGTATGCAAATCAAGTTCAATGTGTGATCATTTACTGTTGATATCAAAATTCTGTAGATCAGAGATGGAATAAGACATAGAACAGTGGAATTTGTGATGAGAAAGTTTGCATTTTGAGTCACGTCAATCTTGTTCTTTGTGTAGAGTTTTTAGATATTAAAAAGAAAAATTTTGAATTCATATTCATTTTTTATATCGCCTCTTTCAATGATTATGGATCACGTTAAAACCACTGTTTTAAAACCTAGATCGGCCGGTCCGATTGAGACTCGGGCTCCACTTCGGTTTGAATTATTATTAAACCCGTTAATACTAAAAGAGCCGCTTTGGACTGGTATTGGATCGGTGTTACAGTATAAACCGTTCGGTCCGATTGGCCCAAAACTTATTTGGGTCTATTAATTGAGCCTTAAAAAAAACCTAAATCTTGATTTCCTTGCGTCGGTTTCATTTGCCATAAGCCATTTCAATCGTCGCAACTTCCATTTTCATCTCCAAACCGTAGCATCCATTTTCATCTTCTCTAAAGTGTAAAGTTACACTTACTTCCTCATCTTCTTCAACTTACTTCGTCCATCAAAATCCAATCTTCTTCATCGAAATCAAAGACCTGGAATTTGTTAATGAAATCATGACTACGACACTATGTCAGCTTCGTTTCGCAGTAGAGTAGACACTCAGTCCATCATCAGGATGTTGCATTTGCTCATCTCGGTCACCATCATGTTGAGTAATTATGGATTCACGAATCAACTCCTTTACCATTGCTCCAACACCCATTGTTTTTGTATCAAAATTGTTCTTCTACACATCTCTTTCAACTTCCTCAACCTTCTGCTTCTGCACTTGCTCTCTTCTCTCTTTGTTCGCCTGATAATTAGTAAATTCGCGTTTTATACGCAAATTATACACCCAACCGTATAATTCGAGTATAAAACGCGAATTCCCGTATTCTATAAGCACAGCCGAATTATACGCGAATTATATGCATTAGCCATATAATTCGCGTATAATTCGGCCATATTTTTAAAAATAAAATTTTGTTATTTACTGAGCCAAAACGACATCGTTTTAGGTGAAATTTGATCAAAACGACGTCGTTTTATGGTGCAACGTCAGTCTCTTTTTGGAGCATTTTCTTCTCTTTTCTGCGCTCGCTTCCTTTCGCTTTCTTTCTTTTGGCGCCCTCTTCTTTCTTTTTCTCTTTTTTTGTGCCCTCTCTCTCTTCTTCTCTTTTTGGCGTCTCTACCTCTCTTCCTCTTCAACTATTCTTCAACAAACACCACTCTTCGTCTTCAACTATTCTTCAACAAACACCACTCTTCGTCTTATCTTCTTCTTCTTCAACTTAAAAGACAAATAAAATTATTTGTTTTATTTAATAATTGGTCACTTCTATAATATTTGTAATAATAAACTAAAATATTATAATTAAAAAAAGATATAAATCATACACCTATAAGGAAAAATAGAGAATAATTAATTCAATGATCATAAAAAGTACTAAAATCAGGATTAACATTACCGTATTTTTTAAAACGTATTATTAATAATATACTGTATTAAACCCGTATATACTCATTTCGTATTTTTCCTGTATCTGAATTTTAAGACCAAATTTTTATAAACGTATTTTTCACCATTTGCTGTATCATTTTCGTAAAATTCCTGTATCGTTTTTTTACCGTACCCGTATTTACATCACAGTCACAAATCTTTTGAGTTGTGTTGGAGATTTTCTAGAGTATTCATAGATTCCCTCACCCACACATGGCTAGAGTTAAGGAGTACCTGTCCTGCCTCTCACATGCCAACAATTATGAGCGTACACGTATCTGATAATTTAAAATGATAGAAAGTGTAGGTGTAATTTGGATTGGGCGTTCATTTTCCAACAAAACATAGAGGCTTTGTTTGGTTTGAGAATACTACTCTTAGTATTCCCAAAAAAGTTAAACAGTAAAATACCCAAAAACTCTCAGCTTCGTTTGATTCAAAATTGGGAATATTACTCTTAGTATTCCAAAAAAAGTTAAACAGTAAAATACCCAAAAACTCTCATTTTTGGGAATATTATTTTCAATATTATTCAATTTTTTTTAAACCCTCTAAATTTGTTAATTTAGTTAAATACCCCTACATATTTTTTTAAAAATTACAAAAACATTCCAACAATCCACATTTATCAGATTCTAGCCACCACCGTCGGAAAATGGCCGGAATCTGGTAAGATGACACACTACCGGCTGAATCTGGTCGGTAGTGCGCCGATCTAGCCTTTTTCGACCAGATCCACGGTGGTTTTGGCCGGAAAAGGCCAGATCTAAGGCCAAAGATCTGGCCGTTGACGGCCAGATCTTTGGCCGTAACAGTCGGTCACGACGGCCAACAAACGGTCGTCGTTGACCATCAACGACCACCATTTATTGGCCGTCGTTGAGAGCAAATATGGCCAGATCTGGTCGTTGACGGCCAGATCTGGCTGTAGATCTAGCCTTTGCCGGCCAGATCCACGGTGGATCTAGCTGGCAAAATCTAGTCGGTCATGCGTCGATGAGACGACTCCGGCCACCTTCGGTGGTGGTGGCTGGCTGAGGGTATTTGAGGGTGGGTTATGGGTGTTTTTGTTAACTTTTAATGTTTTATTATAGGGGGTATTTTGTAAAAAAACAAACATATGAGGTATTTTATTAATTTATAAATCCTGCCTCGTAATACCCACCCAATTCAACTTTTTTTTTAACTTTTTTCAAAAACTTTTCTCAAAACCCCCAAATTTTGAACCAAACGAAGCTAGAGGCTCCATGAGTGTAATAAAAACCCATTTTGCTATAAGTCCATTACTCCATTTGCATTTTTAAATTCTAGAAACACAATTAAATAGACTAAAAAAATTCTTTCAATCTCATCTCACTGGTCCAACCGATGATCCAATCGGTTGAACCGCAACCTGGTCACCTTGCCAGGTTTTACAACGGATCGGTTTTTAAAACAGAGGTTAAAACTCTGATTTTCTAAATGGTGAGATAAAGGGAAGAAGATGAGGTCATTCTTTTTTGGAACAAATTAAATATATATTTTCATTTAATCAATTTTACATAAATAACAATATTCTTTATTTATTGAAAATGAATGGGATTTTTTTTCACCCAAAAAAAATATATATATATAGGGGTTTTAATGTTGTAATGTGACTTGTATGCTCGACTTACTATGAAGTTCACTAAAGCTTGACTAAGAAGTACTTGGGTTCACATTTTTATCGTGTGAAAACTGAAATGCCGTTGTGTCCAACCATCATCCACCACAAGAAATTGGTGGCCCGCCTCTTTCCGCGGAAACTGAAATGCCGTTGTGTCCAACCATCATCCACCACAAGAAATTGGTGGCCGGCCTCTTTCCGCGGATTCATATATATATATAATGGTTATTAAAAATAAACAGATGCTCATACCTGTATCCAATTTACCAAAGATTCCGGCCCACAAATAGATAGCTGAGCACACCAGTATGCACTAAAAGAGCCTATTTACCACAGATTCGGGCCTTTTAGGGGCCCCAAAAACAAAATACATTTTGGACGACCACAGTGGGAGTCGAACCCACGACCTTTTGATCCGAAGTCAAACGCGCTAATCCACTGCGCTATGCGGTCCTTGTGTAAAGACAACCCTAAACATAGTATATATATCAACATCTCGAGCAATAGTAAATATGAGTAGCCATTTTTTGAAAAAATTTAATAACGCCCAAATTTCAATTATTCTCTAAAAAAACATCAAACCACCCAATAGAGATGTGGATAAACTTTATAAAATCATTAGTGTGTTTAATGTTTCATATGGTTGATAGAAATGAGATGATAACCTCAAAATATACAAGTATGGACATACATAGAGTTTGTAACACAACTGACTCTTTACCTTTCAAGCTACTATCAAATTATAAAATAAACCCAAAAAAAAAAAAAAAGGAACATCACTTTCATTTCTGTAATACGTGTATATGTATTGTCATACAAAATTCGCATTGGGGTCCGTCGTTTAAATGTTAGATCCTCAAGATGAGACCCACACACAAATTTGTATGTTTTTTCACAGAAAGATGTATTACAACTACCAGGAAGCTGACTAATATCGCTTTGTATTAAAGTCAAAGATTTAGCGTCATGGATATTATATTGAAGTTACAAGGTTAGATATTCAAGCCATGACGTACGTAGCAGGAACAAAGTTTCCCAAAATTCTTCAAATTTTGAACGGTTGATAACGATATAATGGATATAGCGGAAAGCATCATTCGCTTTTTATTGTGTTTGTACACATTTCAACTTATTTCGAGATCACCAACTTGATGTTAAATATTTAATATAGTTGATATATAGTGCCTTCTTTTTCTGAAAGTTAAATATCAAGATGGATAAGAATCCTATGCCTAATGATTAGGACAACGAGCCAGAGACAATTTTAAAAAGAAAATCCAAATGGAGATCATATAGGCTTAAAGGATAAAATTAGAGTAGGTCTTTTACCTACTTGCATTATTCTTGATTAGGTTTTCATTCTTCAGAAACAAAACAAACTAAAAGGGGTCAGACTCATGACATAAAAATGTCTGATTTAAGAAAGAATTAGCCATGTAACTAAAAAAAAGGTAACTTAATAGTTATTTATACATTTGCTCAACCTTGAATCTAGTTTTTTATTTTTTAGTGATCGAGGTGTTCGAACCAGCTTAGAATCTTATAATTTTTCAGGACCCTGAAACTATATATCGGTGGGTAGAGACTCCAATGACCACCCTTATTAATAGTTGAAAGACTCCCTCAGGATCTTAAACTATCAGTCGGGTAAGAACTTTAGTGGTTAT